GTGCGTCTACGGCGACGGGACATTACAATCGGTGTTCATGTTTGATCGCACGATCGATTTCACAATGGATCTCACGAGCGACCTCACTATCCCTCTCACTGGCCATCCCACTATCGATCCCACTATCGATGTCACGATCGATCGCACTATCGATTGTGCCACCGACCTTACCACCGATCTTATGTTCGATCTAATTCCACTGCCGAACTCACTCGGTACGACTATCGATTTAACGGTCGATCTCACTATCGATCTCACGACGGTACACCGACGGGACACCCACGGGCCACCACGGGACATCACGGGACACCTCGGGACACCATCGGGACACCACGGCAGGACATTCCGGGCCACCGCCAGCCAACCAGGGGGGAGTGGCGGTCTTATTGCTTGGCGGCGCCAAGCCAGAGGAGGGCTAATTTCTTTCGCCCGCCGCGATTTCCCAGAGGGAGGTCTTCTTTTCATTGCTGTTGGGCTCGAATCAATGGGTAGGCGATAGATGAGGGTGGGGAAGAATGGTGCCCTTTTCGGGCCCTGGAGGACCCCTCTGGGGCCCTGGATGGCCCCTTTGGGAGCCGTAGATGGCTGCTTGTCGGCAGCCATCGCTACCCTCCCATTCGTTGCTCCCTTTTCTCCTCCTCCCCCTCCTCCTTCCTCCTGTATCCCTCCTCCTCCTTCTCCTTCCTGGTCCTCCTCCTCCTCCTCCTCATCCTCCTCCTCCTCCAAGTCGCGCCCAACCCTGGGATCTCCCCCCCAACCTCCGAGCTCGGGCGGCACGTGCGGCTTCGGGCGGCCTCGGGCGGCTCCACGGGAGCTCCGGGCCAGACGGATTCGGTAGTCAACCATGGGAGCCTGCTATACCCTTTTAATTCTGTCTTGAGCGTCGGTCAGCGTCGATTAGCGTCTGGAGGCGATGAGATCGGGCTGATTTAGCGTCGGTTAGCGTCGATTCGATTGAGCGTCGATTTGGCGTCGATTCGCGTCGACTAGCGTCGATGAGCGTCGATTCGCAAGAGGCGACAAGATGGTATGGGAGGCTCCCACACAGAAGGAGGGGTGGCGAGCGGACGTGTGCCTTGTTTCCCGGCGATGATTATCGAGGAGCATCCTGGATTGTCTTGCCAAAAATAGCGCACGACGCCGAAACATGCATAGGGCATGGACGTCCGAGCGATGGCAAGGGATGAGATGGAGGAGGAGGAGGAGGAGGAGGTGGAGGAGGAGTTGAGGAGGATGATTAGGCCAATCGGCTTGAAGGGCCTATGGCTTTCCGTTTGTGCGTGTTGGCTTTCGGTGTTTTTGAGTTCATCGGTTGTCGTCAGCAGTTTTGTGGAGGTCTTGCTGGAGGCTTTCCAGGGGTTGTCAGGGTTTCCTGGGGTAAGGCTTGTCGTCGTTTTCGTCTCGACGTCGTCCTCTTTTTTTTGACGGGGGGGGGCGAGGAGGGAGGGGACAATGAGGTTAGACGAGGCCGAACATAAAGAGGACGATTGGAGAAGGCGGAGGAAGAGGATGATGATGCTGATGAGAAGGAGGAGTAGGAGGAGAAGGAGGAGCAGGAGGAGTAGGAGGAGGAGGGAGCAGGCGAACGAGGGGCGGAGTGGCAGGAGAAGGATTATGATTATGTCGACGAGGATCTGGAGGAGTGGATAGAGGAAGATGGGGATGATGAAAAGTGATGGTGATGGTGATGGTGAACAAGATGATGAAGATGAGGAGGAATTTGACTATCCATATCATGATGGCGCTGAGGATGGTGATGTTGATGCTGTTGCAGCTGAGGATGTTGATGATGCTGGCGATGCTGATGATGATGCTGATGCTGAAAAAGATGTTGCTGATGACGATAACGGTTATGACGATGATGATGATGACGATGTTGATCATGATGATGACGATGATGATGACGATGACGATGATGTTGATGTTGGTGATGATGATTGTGATGCTGATGACTGTGATTATCATTGTCATTGCGATGATTGTGATGCTGATGCTGATGCTGATGATGCTGGTGTTGTTGTTGATGATGATGATGACGGCGGTGGTGATGATGACGAGTATGGCGGTGATGATGTGTTTCAAGCTGAAGATGAGAAGGTTTATGAAGCTCATGCTAGTTGGTGTTTCGATGATGCTTCGGATTATTATGATGGTGATGTTGATTGCAATGGTGATGATGCTGATGATGATGATGCGGATGAAGATGATACTGCTGCTGATGATGATGATGATTATGATGATGATGTTGATGGGGGTGTTTGTGACTATGATGGGGATGATGCTGATGAAGATGATTGTTATGGTTGTGATGGCGATGTTGATGATGATGGTGATGATGATAATGATGACGAGGCTGACGTCGTTCATGGTAATGATGGTGATACTGATGATGGTGACGATGCTACTGATGATGAAACGATGATGATGGTTACGACGAGTTCAAGCCCGCTCAACATCTTCTTAACCGAACATGTAGGTGACCAGCTGACATGCGAATTTCTCGTCTGTTTTCGTTCAACAGGGTTTGTCTTGGAGTGGTATTGGGTCGCATGACTGGTGCCTGGGGGCGTTGTGGTGGTAAGAACCAGTGCCGCCCGAAGGGCCCGCGCGTTGAGACATCGGTAACATGTTGAGATGGTTTGGCCAGTTCCGCATGAGACATCCTCACGGGTCTGCGTTCCGAGACAACCAGATTTGACATGGTTTGGCCCGTTTCGTTTGAGACATCCTTGCAACTCGGGGCTCCCAGACGCTACGCGAGAGTTTGTCTGGCCCACATCGCCTGAAACATCCTCAAAACTTTTGGGTGCGGGATACTTACCGTGACTTGAGGTTGTCTCGTCCGTGTGGCTTGAGACGTCGTCGCTACACCAGGCTTCAAGGTGCCGCCCGCGAGATGATACTGTCTGTTTCGCCTGAGACGTCCCCGCAAGTATGGGCAAAGAGATGCCGCGTGCGAGGGGATCCAGCCAGTTTCGCATTCTGGAGGTTCGCAGGTCGCCGATCAAGCACAACAACGTGGCAGAGATGAGTAACCAAGTGAACCCCTGAGTCACTAAGGCCAGGTCCAAACGGAAGAAAAATCGGGCAACGGGCTTGAAACGTCGGTGGGGCAGCAACGACATGACATTGCTCCTTCGCACCACAATTCCCACGCGACGACCCATTTTCTGAACCCGCCGTGGCAGGGACGGCGAGGTGCCGCTCAGGTTTGCGCGGTGCCTCACTCCGCTGGACCCACCAGCAGCCCTCGAAAGTGGCGACAATGTCGCAGATCGCAGTCCGCCAGGGACGGCGAGGTCCCGCTCAAGTCTGCGCGGTGCTTCGCTCCGTTGGACCCACCAGCAGCCCTCGAAAGTGGCGACAATGTCGCAGATCGCAGTCCCCCAAGGACGGAGAGGTCCCGCTCAGGTCTGCGCGGTGCCTCTATCCGTTGGACCCACCAGCAGCCCTCGAAAGTGGCGATAGTGTCGCAGATCGCAGCCTCCCAAGGACGGCGAGGTCCCGCTCAGGTCTGCGCGGTGCCTCACTCCGCTGGAGCCACCAGCAGCCCTCGAAAGTGGCGACAGTGTCGCAGATCGCAGCCCCCCAGGGACGGCGAGGTCCCGCTCAAGTCTGCGCGGTGCCTCACTCCGTTGGACCCACCAGCAGCCCTCGACAGTGGCGACAATGTCGCAGATCGCAGCCCCCCTGGGTCGCAGATAGCCCCCCAGGGACGGCGAGGTCCCGCTCAGGTCTGCGCGGTGCCTTTCTCCGCTGGACCCACCAGCAGCCCTCGAAAGTTGTGACAGTGTCGCAGATCGCAGCCCCCCAGGGACGGCGAGGTCCCGTTCAGGTCTGCGCGGTGCCTCACTCCGCTGGACCCACCAGCAGCCCTCGACAGTGGCGACAATGTCGCAGATCGCAGTCCCCCAGGGACGGCGAGGTCCCGCTCAGGTCTGCGCAGTGCTTTACTCCGCTGGACCCACCAGCAGCCCTCGAAAGTGGCGACAGTGTCGCAGATCGCAGCCCCCCAGGGACGGCGAGGTCCCGCTCAAGTCTGCGCGGTGCCTCACTCCGCTGGACCCACCAGCAGCTTTCGAAAGTGGCGATAGTGTCGCAGATCGCAGCCCCCCAGGGACGGCCAGGTCCTAGACATGTACCGTAAGCAAGAGAGAGAGAGAGAGAGAATGAGAAAAAGAGAGCAAGAGAGAAAGAGAGAAGAGAAAGAGAGAGAGAGAGAGAGAGAGACAGAGAAAGCGGTGAGAGGCAATAAGCGGGAGGCGGGAGGAGGAGGAGGAGGAGAAGGAGACGCGACCGCAGTGCTCTATTCAACACGAATAAGGTATTCAACCTCTTTGGTCGGGTATTCGGCATACCCAATCAAGGAGGGTTGGGAAAAATCAATGGACGTCCTGGGGTCTCAGGGTTGGCTTTCTTGTGGAAGGTTTCTTTTGGACTGGCCTCCACCGTACCCATCCCTCATTCGTGAGCGCCTCCTGCCCGCTTGGCGTGGGGCTCCCTGTGTCTCCTTCGAGGACCATGGGGCAGCTAGAATGTATTTGTATCGTTCTGGAAGCCATGGTGAGCAGCCCTGGAGCTTTTAAAGCCGCCTGGCACGCCTGGCACGCCTTCCGCTGTAATCCGTGCGTCAGGTGGAGTAGGGCTGGCGTCGCCAGGCAGCTACTAGCTCAGAGCTTCTCCTCTCTTCTCCTCTCGTTCGTTCCTCCTCCTCCTCCTTCTCCCTGTCCGTTTCCTCCTCCTCTTCTTCCTCCTCCTCCCTCTTATTCTCTCCTCTCTTCGTCTTCCCTTCGGAGAGGAGCGCGCCCCAGCACGCAGCTGCGAGTGTGCCAGTACTTTCCGTGGTGTCCGTGGGATCGATCCTCATCGGGGCACCAGGGCGGCGCCGTTGCTATTGGCAGCGTGCCCAGAGCAAGCATCCTGACGCCTCTAAGAGGCCGCGAGAGCGGCGTGGGGCCGCTGGGCTCGGCCTCCTCCTACGCCCCGCCCTCTGCTCGGCCAGGCGTGCTTCGTGACCGTCCTCCACCGCGGCGTCGTGGCCAAGGCTCTGGAGGACGCCGCGCGCGGACGATCGCGCGCCCTCGAGCCTCTCGGCCTGCGGGCCGGCGCCCGAGCGAGCCAGGCATAATGCCTCGGTCGGTCGGTCGGGAAGCCTTTTCTCCCCCCCCCCCCGTGAAATCCGGGAGTCTGGCGATGTCGCCCGGTTTGGGGCCCGGGGCCCTCACAGAACGATCCTGCTCAAAAGATGCCGCAGAATGATGGGGTCCAGGCCTCCGGTTGTGTTTTCTGGCGGTGGTTCAATTTTGACGATGTGCGTTTTTTTCCGCGACGTCGGATCTCAGGGCATCTCCTCGTCCTTCCGGTGGGATGAGGAGCAACGGGAGGAGGAGGAGTCTGGAGGATCCGAAGTGGGAATGGAGAGAGTGGCACGGACCACTGGCAGCAGTTCCTGCCCATTTTGAACGGGACTCGCTGTCGGTGTCACCGCGGGCGGTGCCCATTTGAGGCAGAACGTCGCCCGCCCCACAGCGGCCGCTATTCGTTTTGGACCGCATGTTCTGTTTGGCAGCGTGCCCGTGTGTTCTGTCCGGTGGGTTCGTGAGTCGTGCCGACGTGGCGGCGACCCCCACGCGGACATCCAGCGCGGAACGCCGTCAGCCTCGGAATCGGCTGGCATTCCGTGCAGACGATGTGCTACATAATTGATTTACCCCAGGCCTGATTCTCCCGTCAAGTCCACACACAAATAGGTGGAACGCATGTAGATTTGCTAACATGTTACGTGTTCTCTTGCGCCTTCGGCGATGGGAAATCAATTCTGTAGTCGATCCACTACTCGAGCATTGGGCGATCTTCGCCATCGTGAAGCCATGATCGTTCAATATTGAACGATATACTCAGTGTCAGAAGCCAGTGCCCATGTCGCCACGACACATTCTGCCGTACCCAGTTCGGGCGTGCCAAAGGAGGAGGACGAGGAGGAGGAGGAGGAGAGCACACGTTTCTCTTTCACGTTCTCGGCCGGACGCACTTCCTGACCCTCCCTGTGCACCGCGGATTCTGTGCCCAGGGCGCTTAGACGAGCCGATGGGGACCCTGGACCGCCTCGGCTCGTCAGCGCGAGTCCTTGGTTCGGCCCTCGCTCTGGGCATTGCGGCATCGCGAGGCAAGCCCAGGAATGGGATATATATATATATATATATATGTATAGTGGAAAAATCACTCGGACCGGACACTTCGCTTTTACTAAACGGCCCTGGGCGTTTACTAAACAGCCCTGCCCTGTTCGATTCCTTCTTTGGGCGCGTTCACTGAACAACTTCGCGTGTCGGGATGATTATTATGGGAGTGATTTGCTTGACATCTAATATCGCTCCAGAGTTGTTCGGAGTGCTTTAGAACTGCCGCGGCGCCCGATGCGTCTTCCAGAATTTTCGAATCTCAGATGTTCTCGATGCATCCCGATCCGATTCTTGTCCCGCCGTGCTTGGCTTTGTCTTATGTCGTCCAAGGCACCTCTTCTCTCGAGGAGGGAGCTGGAGGATTGAGGTTTCTGGGTGCCTGGCCCTCTGAAGGGCTCTTCCGAAGGCCCCTTTGCCTGCGCCACTGAGCTGGCCGAGCCTTGCCCACCACTGCTCATCCGCTGGTTTCCCTCCGACGCGCGAGTGCGTGACAGCCAGCGGCGACAGGTGGAGCACAGAGACACGCCCAGGCCTACCAAATGTGGCATCGCCGATGCAGTGGCGATGGGTCTCGATGCAAGGCTTAAGTCGGGCCTGTCCCTCTACAGGAGGAATATTCAAAAATAATCAAAAATCACCCTGGCGACGTACCCACCCAACCCCTGCGCAGTGGAGGGCAGGAGTAGATTGGGAGATTTGATGAGTAGTGGCGACAGTGTCGCAGATCGCAGACCCCCAGGGACGGCGAGGTCCCGCTCAGGTCTGCGCGGTCCCCTCACTCCGCTGGAGCCACCAGCAGCCCTCGAAAGTGGCGACAGTGTCGCGGATCGCGGCCCCCCAGGGACGGCGAGGTCCCGCTCAGGTCTGCGCGGTGCCTCACTCCGCTGGAGCCACCAGCAGCCCTCGAAAGATGCGACAGTGTCGCAGATCGCAGACCCCTTTGACGGCGAGGTCCCGCTCAGGTCTGCGCGGTGCCTCACTCCGCTGGACCCACCAGCAGCCCTCGAAAGTGGCGACAGTGTCGCGGATCGCAGCCCCCTTGGACGGCGAGGTCCCGCTCAGGTCTGCGCGGTGCCTCACTCCGCTGGAGCCACCAGCAGCCCTCGAAAGTGGCGACAGTGTCGCGGATCGCAGCCCCCCAGGGACGGCGAGGTCCCGCTCAGGTCTGCGCGGTCCCCTCACTCCGCTGGAGCCACCAGCAGCCCTCGAAAGTGGCGACAGTGTCGCAGACCGCAGCCCCCCCAGGGACGGCGAGGTCCCGCTCAGGTCTGCGCGGTGCCTCACTCCGCTGGAGCCACCAGCAGCCCTCGAAAGTGGCGACAGTGTCGCGGATCGCAGCCCCCCCCCCCCCCAGGGACGGCGAAGTCTCGCGGGAGACAGGAGGTTGGAGGCAGGAGGCGGGAGGCGGGAGGAGGACGCGACTGCAGTGCTCTATTCAAAACGAATGCCCAACCAAGGAGGGCTGGGAAATAGGCAGGGGACGATTTTTCTAGTATTGTTTTGCCAATTTTGGGGTATGTTTTGAATCTGTTTGGTTTTTCGTCGAAAATCCGCCTGTAGGGGAAATACCCAACCTGATGCAAGGCCCGAATTTCTTCACGCTGACGTCGCCGATGCATCGCCGACGTTCTCGATGCATCGGCGATGCGGCGCAATCCTCTCACGCCATCCGCTCGGGCCCCATGCGGGAGGCCTCCAGACACTGCCAATACGATTGATCCACATCTGTGGACAAGTGCGCGGCCTTGAAATTCCCAGCGGGAGTCGGACATTGCCACAAGCTGTAGTCCATCCGCTCGCACTCCCTCAGAGCCCCGAGTCATCAGGGCTGGGGGTAGTCAGGGGTAGCTGTAGATTCGCGCCTCGGGGTCCCAGACCAGAGTGGCCGTGGACCGCAGCTATCCCGGATAATTTGGGTGTCCACCCATCCCGAATCATCGGGGCTGGGGGCAGTCACCGGACGGGGCCAGGACGAGGATGGATATGTTCCAGAGCGTTCCAGAACGCTCTCAGAGCGTTCCGGAACGCTCTGAGAAGGCCGTGGCGCCAGAGATAGAGCCGCCGTTGTCGATTTATCTTCACCAGATGTTAGTATCGCCCTGGCTTCGTCTTAGGTAGCCACAAATTTGCGCCTCGGGGTCCCAAGCCGGATGTACCCCAGACCGCAGCCTATCTCCTAGAATTGGGGCGCCCAGCTACCTCCTCCTCCTCATGCGTGCTCCTTGCCCCGCCCCCCTCGGGCGGGTGGTAATGGGGGGTGACCTCAATGGGGGGTGAAGAACAGGGCCCTAAAAGGGCACTTTGGGGCCCCTTTTGGAGCCAGCGGGGCCCCAAAAGGGGCCCCACAGTGCCCCTTTCGATTCTTTCTTCATGCCCCATTTAGGTCACCCCTCATTACCACCCGCCCGACCCCATTCTTCCGTGCCCCCCCCCCCGCCTTGCGCCTCCCCGGCCCCGCCCCTCCCCTCCCCTCCCCTCCCCTCCCCATCCCTCGGGGGGCCCCAAGGTACACCGTGTGGTGAGTCGGTGGGGATTCGGGGTCACCACACGGTTTTAGGACTCGGGTCGTTCTCCGAGGACGTCTCGGGCGACTGGGGCATCCGAGGTCCCAAAACCGTGCGTTGACGGACCGTGCGGTGAGGTCTTGGGGGATTTCGAGGTCACCGCACGGTCTGTCACCGCGCCGTTTCGGGACTCTAAAATCCCCTCCCCCCCTCCCCCCTCCCCCCTCTGCTCCCCCTCCCCCCTCTCCTCCCCCCTCTCCTCCCCCTCCTCTCCTCCTCTCCTCCTCCGCCCCCCCCCGGGCCCCTGCCCCCTCCCCCTCTCCTCCCCCTCCTCCTGTGCCGCCCGTGGTCCTTGCAGAGGAGCAGAGGGCCGGCGTCCGAGCCAGTAGGGCGCAGGCTCGTCTCAAACGCCTGGGCCGTGCAGCCCCATGGCAGGGCCGACTGGGATTCAAATTCTGATTGATGGGCCCGTTTTCCACCACCATCACCATTAGATGGAGGGGGAAGGAGGTGGATGATGAGGAAGAATAAGAAAAAGAAAAAGAAAAAGCAGAAAAAGAAGAAGAAGAGGAAGAGGAGGAAGACCCCCTCCCCCTCCTATTCATGGTGGTTGTGGTGGAAACAGGCCCACCACTGATGGCTGCACTTGTGGCCGTGCATCGTCGTCCACAGGTCTTCTTCCAATATAAGTTGTTAGCATGTGACCACAGTTTGACGTTCATGGCACCGTTCACCACCACCACCCCCTCCACCGCTCTCCAGGTCTGAGGCGGGGATTTGTCGATAGCCACCGCCTGGGTGATCGATCTTCGGGGACCTGGACAGGCGTTGGACATGGACATATTCGGGCCCTCTGGGGCCAACATCTATCCGTATCCACCGCCCGCTGGGGTCCCAGGACGTCGGTTTCCAAGGCGGTGGGCACGGACATTCCCCGCCTCGCACTAGAGGCCCCCCCCTACACATCTCATTTCCGCTCGGGGGCCTGCCCAGCACACGCACGGGGGCCATGGTTTGGTCTGACTCGGCCGTGGGAGTCATCCGATCAACTTGGGGTCCGGGGCGGCCGCGAGGGCTACGCGATCTGAGGTAGGAAGGTCCACAACTCGGAAAGCCCGAAAACAATTGTTTCGAGGCGCTCTGCCCGCGCTCCGAGGGGCACTGAAAATCACTGAAAAATGAAAGCAGGAAGAGGAGGAGGAGGAGGAGGGGGAGGAGAGGAAGAGGAGGGAGACGGCGCCGCCGACGACGACGTCGGGGAGAAGGGGAGAGGAGGGGGAACCAGGAGGAAGGAAGAGGAGGAAGGAGGAGGAAGAAGGAGGAGGAGGAAGGAAGAGGAGAAGGAGGAGGAGGAGGAAGAGAAATGA